AAATATAATTTCATAATAATGTTTTTTGCTTTAGTCCTCAGTGTAACTTTCTTCTTTTCAATGTGTATTCCTTAAGCCTGAGGTGACAAGTGTTTCTTTTATTGTTAAGAAGCAGATTTATCTCTGTCAGTCCCTTCTGATCACAGGTAGTATTTGCTTCTTCCCTGTCTCCCCAAATGCTATTTACCAAAACCTAAGAAGCACAAAGATTCCCAAATGGCTCTAGACCAATTTAGTATTGGATTCTATAAACTTTTATTTTTTGTGGAAATGAGTTTTTGTTTTCTTTTCTCAGTTTTTCAGTGAGAAAAATCTTAATGTAAAATGTTTTTCTTACTGTTACTATATGTCCTAGAATGGTTTCATCGGTTAAGGATGACAAAAGATCAGGGACACATTGTGATGGGTGTGTCATTTCTCAGCACTGTCAGACTGGGGACTCGTTTCCTTCCACGGTGAGCTTAAGGCCTTGTTTTAACTTGGTTAACTTGTGGACTCCCTCACTTTAAGGCAGTTTCCAAATTGCAACACACCGATGCCCTCAGGCTGTCACAGTCGTGTTCCCCCAGGACCAGCCTTTCTGGAAGTCTCTCCTGAGCTCTCTTACTCACCCTCCTCTCTCCATGCTAACGTGTCCCTGCAGAGCTCAGATGCATCCAGAAGGGAATTCCTTTTCTCACTGATCCCAACAGGAGCCTACTGCTTGCCTATATCAATGACTCATTCTCAACTCTCATTTTTCTCTAATGCATTTGATTTTCCTGATATTGGACATAGAATAACTCTTTGAGGATAAGAATTGTGTCATTTCCAGCCATGTAGGTGCTCTATAGATATTTGTGAAATGAATGCATGTATCCTTCTTTTGTAAACTCTACCTTTGACACGATTCTGTCCCTGCGATGCTGTTTCTAGCCAGTCTTATCCTCTAGCTTGTCTCCTGCCTCCTAAATTTCCCAAAGTGTGGTTCTGGTCTTCTTCACTCCCTCTCCTTGAGCTCTCACCCTCTCATATGCCATCATCTCTCACCACTGTGTCGCCGACCCTTCGTGCCTTTTCTTTTTGCCTCTGGACCATTATCTTGGTTCAGTAGTCTACCCTTGAATGTTTTCAGGCACTTCGACCTCATCAATTTGTTCTTCCACTACTGTTCTTTTTCTCTTTTCTAACTAATGGCATCTTTCCAGTCACCCAGACGCTAGTGAATCTGTGACCTAAGTAGATCAGTTCAATGCTTATGTATTTTGCTTTATGCGTATGTGTTCTGGAATGGTGAGAGCACACATTCAAACTCTTGCTTAACTCAAACACCACCCATGAACACCCCCAGCCAAAATAATTTCTCCTTCTGTGACCCCCTCATAGCACATTCTCTCTATGGCCATTTTTCTTTGGTCATTTGTTTCATTTTCCTTGTTTTACTGAATATTGCAATTTTTGAGCACGTCTCATCACCTTGACTAGATTGTAAGCATCTTATAGAGCACTTGTGTTTGAGTTGATTTCAAATCCAGGCAGGGGCCCAACACAATGCCTTATGGGGTATAGAGTCACAAGTAGAGGCTGAGAAGAAAAGCAGATTCAGTGTCACTTGTTCTTGAACCCTGCTAGCTGCATGGTGGCATATCCCTCAGGGTTTCCATAAAAGCCCATAGGCCAGTTATGTTTGGAACGATGTGTCCACAAACCACTTAAGAGTAAAGCCGGCGTCACCCCTGTACACCCAGACTTTAAAATGATATTAACTTGCTCGAAAGACAAGCTGTGGTTACAAAAATGACCTATATTAATAATATTAATAGACCGATCATCATTAGAAATGACATTTATTGAATGCATGTCATTATATGTAACATCTCATTTGTTCTTAACAGCTGTAGGCTACTACTAAATGCTTAGGCATTATCCTTTTATCCCTTTACACTTTTCAAAGCCCTTTAATGTCCATATCTCAGTAGCCTTGAGATGTAGAAAGGCTATGGTAGTGAACCACACTGTCTTTTGCCAAATCTGTAAATGCTTGCCCGTCTCTTTCCCCTGAAGTCTCAGTCACAACCACTGAACAAATGAGGAAACCACTTCACACTTAGATATGGTGACTGGCATGGCCAGGAGCTGACATCAAGTTACTGGGAAAAGCCAAAATGGGTCCCCAGGATACCTGGTAGCTAAGAGTTAATAATACCTTTGAGTCTTCTAGCATGGCACTCAGCATTCAGCACTGAGAATGTTCTCTCTGAACTTATGGAGATTCCCAAGATTCTCACTATCATGAGCCAATCCCAGTGAGTAGGCAAGATCTCATTGTACATTGCGCCATTCCATGATGCTGTGCTCATGCATGGCCCATTGCCTCGCATGGCATGTCCCTTTGTCCCCTGCTTACTCGTCCAGCACTTATGGGTAATACATTTTTTAAAAAATAAAGAAAAACAGGCATGGCCTGCCTAACCTTCTTGCTAGAACTCTTGTTCCAAGAAATTTAATTAACACATAGCGAAACCCAGCCAATATGTATTAGATGGTTTCTAGAAGCCGAATATTCATTGGGCCACCCCAGTCCCATTTATTTGTTTATTTTTCTGATTTATGGTGAGTGAAGAAGCAGAGGTCTCCAAAGCTTGGCTTCTTCATCAGCCTCCTTATCAACTCTGAAATGATGGCAAAAGATGGCATACTGGCAAAAACACCAACATAGATAACTGATTGTGTGCTAAGCATGTGCTATGACTATCCTAGTATTTCCAGCTCAGTGACTCTCAAAGTATGGTTTCCTATACTAGAGCATGCCCCCTCTTGGGTCTTGTTAGACACACAAATACTAGGGCTCATCTCTAGATCTTCTGAAAATGAAACCGTTGGGGAGAAGCTGGCAATCTGTTTCAACACCTCTAGAAATACTGATGTGCCCTCCAGTCTGAGAATAATAGTCTTGCATATAGGCCTATTTTTCCATCTTGAACATGGCTTCCTCAGGCTCCCTGGGTTGCTCTGAAATCTGTGTTCAAGTACCCTAAACCTATGTGGAAGGAAAAAGGGAAATAATTACTATTACTGGCTGCTCAATGTTGAGCATTTACACACTGCCAGGGATAATCTTAGGCATCTATGTATATTGACTTGTTTAATGCTCACCACAACCCTATGAGGTCCATACTATTATCACACCCCTTTTGTAGATGAGGAACTGAGGCACAAATTGACTGACTTAATTGCCCAGAGTCACCCAGGTAACAAATGGTAGCACTAGGTTCTGAACCTGAGGTGGTCTGACCTGGTCTGAACGTGCAACCACACGTTAGAGATTTCAGCGCCCTCCCCACCCAGGTTCCATTTTTTTTCTCCTTTCCAAATGAATACCACTCTGTATGAGTTTGGTAGGGTCGCCATAACAAAATATCACAGACCGGGTGGCTCAACAGTTTATTTTCTCACGTTTCTGGAGGCTGGAGATCAAGGTGTCAGCAGAGCTTCTCCTAAAGCTCCTCAACTTGGTGTACAGATAGCTGCCTTCCCACTGTGTCCTCGTGTGGCCTCTCCTCTGTGTGCATGCCCCTGGTGGCTCTGTGTGTCCAAGATCTCTTCTTATAAGGACATCAGTCAGGTTGGATTAGGCCCACCCTAACCACCTCATTAACTTAATCATCTTTTTTCAGGTCTTATCTCCAAATATGGTCACATTTGGAAGTACTGGGGCTTAGGGCTCCAATACACGAATCTGAGGGCCGTACAATGTAGCCATAACATTCCTGTTCCCCTACAATCCATGCCTTTGGCTGACAGGAACTATATCATGTCTCTGTACCCTTAGGGACTCTCTCACCACCATCCATCTAAACACCTCATCCCCTGTATTTCTTCCTAGGTCACATGGCTGCATCATTCTCAGAGACAACAGCCAGGACCCAGGGAGGTTGCCTCTACATATGTTGCAAATATATGGCTTTGATTTGCCAAAAATTGCCTTGTATAACTAGGATGTGAGAGGTTTGCACAATATCTGTAAATACAGCCTTTCTGGGTTTGCAATCAGAGGTAACAATGTCTCTTAAAGTATTGTTGCGAACCGCTTGCATCTAAATCACCCAGGCTGTTCCTGGACCCCATGAGTGACCTATAGCATGAGGCTTTCCAAGGGCAGATCTTTGGAGTGTGTGTATCTAAGAATCCCCTCTCTGTCAGTCCTTCCTAGCCTCCTACATCTGGAGAATCTTATGTACATAAAGGTATCAACCTTTATGTCTGTGAAGTTAGACACATTTGGCCTGTATTTCAGATCTTCCATTACTAGGTATGTGACCTTGGGACAAGTTAGTATCTCTGAAACTGTTTCTTAATTTGCAAAGTGGAATTAATCTAGGTAATTAATGGAATTAATCTAGCAACCTCCTAGGGTTCCTGAAAGGATTAAATTAGATCATGTAAACAACGCACTTTATACCACCTGCTTCTTGTAGAGGAAGTGTGCTGTCTCTGCTAGCATGACTTCTGCCACCATGGCAGCATTTCCACTATTGGGAAAAGATTTCTTTTACCAATCTTGTTAACATTGCATCTGGTGCATGACTATGTGTCTGGACTACTCAGGACACACTGTAAGAACCCGTGTGTGTGCAGATGGAGACGCCCGCATAGCAGCTGATAAACAGGACCAGGGGACAGTGGGAAAACAGGAATGCTGGCCAGGGAAGGAGCACAGGCCACAAAGAAGAGAAATCTCAGAGGACATCTGCCAGCCTGCAGCAGTGGGGATCTAAAAGCCAGACCTCAATTCTATCCAGCTGTATACCTTGGACTCTGGAAGAACATATTTGCCCTGGGCTGGTGTGTCAGAGATTTTTTTTGACTCACACTATCTGAGTTGTCTTTTCTATTAAAATTAACACAGAAAACGTTTCTGCAATCTCTTAACTTCTTGAAGATCTGCTTGTATCACAGTGGGTTGGATACTCATTTGAAATGGCATGTTTATGGACCTTCTTGTATCTTGTCACTTGTAGAGGAGCTGAAGGCCCCCTTGGAGGAGTACGTCCACAAACGCTACCCGGGGCTGGTAAAGGTGGTGCGCAACCAGAAAAGAGAGGGCCTGATCCGAGCGCGCATCGAGGGCTGGAAGGCGGCCACCGGCCAGGTCACTGGCTTCTTCGATGCCCACGTGGAATTCACCGCTGGCTGGTAGGTCACAAGCTGAGCCCTAGGGGCATTCAGGACTGGAGTATGGTCAGGAGGGGCTAGAGTCTAGGAGGTAGGTTACTTTGGCTGTTTCTTCTGGGGCACTGGAAAGATGGAGAAAAAGGTAATTGAAGAAGAAGGTGAGACTATAGTCTAGGATAAAACTGAGAAGCAGGGAGAAATTTGTCATTGTCTACTCAATCCATCATTGTCATCATCACATGTCCCTTGTGGTTCCTCATTATAGGGCAGACATGGTGTCTCAACTTTCACTAAGTTATGCTGCAGTAATAATCTCCAACCTCTGTGACTGATGACAACAAAGATTTATGTCTTGTCCATGTGGCAGGTCAGCTGCAGGTTGTCTGTGGCTCTGCTCCATATAGCCTCTGCATTCTGAGACCCAAGGAGCACTCCTGTCTAAGACATACTATTTTTGTGGCTCAGAGAAAAGAACAACAGGTGAACATTACAATGGCTATGAATGTTTCTGCTCTGATGTGACATCATCACTTCTGCTCACTGGTCAAAGCAAGTCGCATGTCCAAGCTAAACATTAATTGGGGTTGAGGGAGAGAGTAGGGAGACACTGTAGGCCACATGGTAGCGGGCAATATGTCTGGGAGGGGAGCAAATTACTAGGATCAGTTGTACATTCTGTAACAGACTGGGAGATCAAACTCCTCACTCCAGCAGCATTATTTGCACAAAGTCTTCTGTCCCCATGCTCAGTAACTTGCACCACACAAAGACAGGCTGAGCTGGCTGCTTCTATATGCACATCACCACACCAGCCTGGGAGAAGCACTGTGCATTCAAGGAGGCAGTGGGGCTTTGGAGTTGGGTCTGAAGCCAGACCCTCTGGGTTAGAAACCTGATTCTGCCACCACCTGCCTACATGGCCTGAGGTAAGCGATTTAACCTCTCTGGAACTCAGTTTCCTTATTTGTAAAATGGTAACCATAATATCTATCTCATAGGATTGTTGTCGGATTTACATTAACCGGCACATGTGACATATTTAGAATGGTGCCTAGCTCGGAGTAAGTGATTAATAAATACCAGCTCTCATTAGCTCATTAGGAAAATGTGTGTCCAAAGATTAGCAAAGGCAACGTGCAGTCAGTGTGACTTGAATAAGGTGGAGAAGATGATCGAAGAATTGAGAGGAAGGAGAGAGCCTTCTTACTGGGAGAAATTAGGGAAGGCTTCTTGGAAGAGGTGGCAGGTGATAGTAAGCCTCCGTAGATGGCCAGACTTCCTGCCAGTGACAAAAGGCATTCATGAAAGACAGCAGCATGAGTGAAGACTTGGAGGGGGCAAAGCGCTGAAGCACATCTAGAAGCTGTGGAAAGTCCGTCCCATTTGGCTTTAGCCTAGATTGTGTGCGCACAAGTATTGGAGGCAGTAAATGGCCCAGCATATATTTTATTGCTCGTTTTAAATAGAAAGATGCGGTGAGCCAACAGGTAATTCAATAGCTGCAAATGAAAAGAGATGAGATGTAGGCCGAACGTTCTCATTATTCTTCCACATAATGCAGAGGAACAGGGTTTTCACTTGACTCTTTTACAAAGCGTGAGCTCTATGCTAAGCAGGGATAGTAATGCCCTGGCTTGTGAGAGCCATCTTCTCCTTCCAGAATATGGGGAGTGATCCCTTCCTACCCCTGCTGCAGAGACACACACTGGCAGGTTGTCTGACCATCTGCTTTTTCCTAAGCCAGCAAGGCTATGCCTCGAACCCTGAGCCAAGTCCCTGCTTTCTCCTGCTGCAGCCCTGAGGGACGGGCTAGCTAGGAGGCAGGATTCTGCCTGCGTTTGCATTTAATTCATTCTCGCCTACCATTGCTAACCAATTCAATTAGATCCCTTTTAAGAAATCAATTAAATAATCAATTAAAACAACTGAAATAGTCACACACACAAAGAAGCTAGTGAAATACTTATTAAAACCAGGCCACCAAAAGTAGAAGTGACCTATTTTGGGAAAGGGAATTCAGCTCCTACAGAAAATGCATGAGGCATCTGCCAGTGCCCTGAGGGGAAACTGAAAACACTGTACAAAACTGTAATGTAATGCAAATCATAGAGTCCAGAAGGCCTTGCTTTGGCCTACACAGGGAGGTATAAAAGACAGGCCTGGCACTTCCTGGGGAGAGGCCCTCGTGTTCTGAATTCTCGCTCCAGGCCTCCCCTGCAGGCATCAGCACGCTGCTTCCCAGAGCTGCATGATCCAACCGGCGGCCACTCCAGAGCCTCAATTTCTATCTGAATTCCAGCCTGCCCACGCCCGACCTTTAGCTGCGTTGCTTCTTTTTGTTCCCTGTGGTCTTGGGGTCTGCGCCAGTTGAGGTGTGGGCTACCTCAAGAGAGAGATTTTATTTCTGCTTCTCTGTGTTTCAGGGCCGAGCCGGTTCTATCCCGAATCCAGGAGAACCGGAAGCGAGTGATCCTCCCATCCATCGATAACATCAAACAGGATACTTTTGAGGTGCAGCGGTACGAGAACTCGGCCCATGGGTACAGCTGGGAGCTGTGGTGCATGTACATCAGCCCTCCGAAAGACTGGTGGGACGCCGGAGACCCTTCTCTCCCCATCAGGTCTGTGGGGCACAAGTTCTGGTGGCCACTGAGTCCCAGAGGTCAGAGGAACTGAGGGAGGGAAGGTAGGAGAAATGCCTGGGGTGCAGCAGCATGCGTCAATAGCTGCTTTAGGAATTTTGGGTGTCCCACCATCACAGTTTTCTTGCTGAGGAGGGACATAGCATTTTGCTCCTTTAGCTAAAGTTTTCAAAGGCAGCGTGTCCAACAGCGATACTGAAAGATGGACACTGACAGCGGTGCTCACACTTCTCGATTCTTCCTCCTATCTCATGAGCTGTGTTCAGGAGCTTCGAAGTACAAAACTGAAAACGTATTAATTCCTGAGGCCCTTTCATACTTGCAACTTTTATTATCACAGTGCTTCCCACTCTTTTCCATGATACAGGAACACATAGAAAAGGAAAATATTCGTGTGACACCTAGGGTAACTGAGGGCCTCTGGGCAGCTCTGTAAGATAATTGTCCTTGGTCCCACCCAGCTTCCACTGGAGATGAGGAGATAGTACCCATGGCATACCAGTTGGGAAGCTCACATATAAAGGATGTTGAATGAAGTAGGTGGCTTTTGATGCCATGTTTGTTTCCTATGGGTGTTGTAATGAATTGCCACACACTTAGTGGCTTAAAGCACGCACATTTATTCTCTTACATTCTGAAGGTAAGAAATCTTAAACAAGCCTAGCAGAGCTAAACTCAAGGTGTCTACAGAGTTGGGTTCTTCTGGAGGCTCAAGGAGTGAATTCATTTCCTTGCCTTTTCCAGCTTCTAAAGGCCGCCCACAATCCTTGGTTCATAACTACATCTCATCTCCCTCCCCCTGCTTCCTTCATTAGAGGGCCTTTTTCTTTCTTGCCTATCTTGAATAAGTGCCCTTGTGTTGACATCTGGGATCCACATGAATAATCCAGGATAATCTCCTCATCTCAAGATCCTTAACTTAATAACTTAATCACATCTGCGAAGTCCTTTTTCCCATATAAGGTAGCATTCACAGGTGGAATTCTTTTTTGGGGTGAGGGGGCATTGTTCAGCTCACCACAAATGCTCTGATTTTCAATTAATATGATACTTGAGTTATAGTTTAGAACTTTCTGTGAGTTCTAGTTGAGGACCAAACTGACTCTTAAAATCTTCATGGTTCTGTCTTAAGTTAGAGGAGCGGGGAGAGGTGTTCTTACTTTTCCCCAGTTTTAGGACAGTGTTTGTTGTTATAAAGAATAGTGGAATAGGAGTGAGAACATTTTACAGGTAGTCATGAAATTCTTTTTCATCTTACAATTTTTTTTTTATGAACAATAGTAAGATTGTGAGATGTACAGACCTCCCACCCCATATTCTTTTGTTTTCCTCCTCAAACCAAAAGCTGAAGGATTGCATTAGAGTAGAGCTACCTATGGGAAATCTGTGTAACAAAGAAGATGGTTCTTTGGATCAAAAAATTCCTCAGCTGAAGATGCCTTCACGGCTTAGTTCCCATCCCAACCTAGACGGTCAGTGTCTTTGTGCCATGCTGCAGGGCCATACTCTTAGCTCTCTGCAAATAATTGTGTCAGCTTTACTAAGGTGTTTTCTGAGAACCAAAGCATAACCTTCAGGATGTTTAAAATTTAATGGGTGAGATACCACCTCACATCCATTGGCATGGCTACTAAAACAAAACAAAACAAAACAAAACAGAAAATAGCAAGTGTTGACAGGGATGTGGAGAAATTGGAACCTTTGTACACTGTTGGTGGGGTTGTAAAATGGTATAGCCACTATGGAAAACAGTATGACAGTTCCTCAAAAATTTAAAAATAGAATTATTATATGATCCAGCAATTTCACTTCTGGGTATATAGCCAAAAGAGTTCAAAGTAGAGTCTCAAAGAGATATTTGTACACCCATGTTTATGGCAGCATTATTCACAAAAGTCAATGTTCATCAACAGATGAATGGATAAACACCATGTGCTATATATATACATTGATATTATTCAACCTTAAAAAAGGAAGGAAATTCTGACACATGCTACATATATGGATGAACCTTGGTAATGTTATGTTGAGTGAAATAAACCAGCCACCAGAATACAAATGCTATACGATTTCACTCATTTGAGTTACCTTACAATAGCAAAGTTCGTAGAGACAGATAGTAGAATGGTGGTTTCCAAGGGCTAGGGAGAGAGAGGAATGGGGAGTTGCTATTTTTAATGGGTATAGAGTTCAGTTTTGCAAGATGAAAAAAGTTCTGGAAACTGGTTGCACAATAACATGAATGCACTTAGTACTACTGAACTGTACATATAAAAATGGTTAAGATAGTACCTTTTATGTTATGTGGTTACCACAATTTAAAAAATTAATGGGGAGTGCTTAAAGATTTTGGTGGATTTTGTTGCCATGGATTTTGATGGGATGAAGGGATGAAATTCAAATGATGAACTGACAAACAGTGAGCTTTATATTTTTGGCCAAATGATGCCTTCTTCCTGACATACAAGAAGGCTGACCGTGACATACAAGAAGGCTGACCGTGATAAATAAGGGAGTGAGGGTATGGCAGTGGCATTAGCAACAGAGAGAAAGTGCTTTGGGATGCTCAGAAAACACAGCTATCCCTGCATACATAAGACACTAAAATGAAAATTAAGCTTGTAATAATTTTATGAGTTATGGTAACATTAATTGATGATTAATACACATTTTAAAAAGACTCAAGAAAAGTTGTGATCATGAATCATTAATTTACATGCATCTCTGATGTACAAAATAGAATCACATACCAATGATCTCTTTTTAATGTATCATAACATAAAATGTTTAATTTATTAATAGTTGATGGAGATATTTAATTGTAGGAATGAATTTTTATGGTCTTTCTGATGTTGTTAAGCAGATACAATGTAATTCTTAAATGTTAGGACATGGAGGTTTTCCCTCCCCACTGTGATCCCCAATATTTTAATAGTAATGATTATATTCTGGTAAAGGATGAATAAGGAGAACTTTTTCGCAATGCAGATGGCATTAGATTGGACTAGTCTTTACATACAGAGTCTTCCTGGTAGGCAGCACAATAAAGGAGATTTTACATTAAGGGAATTTATATCCTCTATTTCAATTCTTTCCCTCTTTCTTCCTATGTATCTTCTGCCTGGCAAACAGCTATTTCCCAAGGTTATCTGTTTGTCTTCTGTTCTTCTTTGTCTACACCAGTTTCAGGTATAGAGAGTGGGCAGGTGCCATTAAAGAGAGCAGGGCCATGTGTAAGGGGTGGAGATAGGGACTGAAGAACACATGCCACCAAGGAGGTAGCTGCTGACAGTCCCCATGATGTTGATGGGGAACAGAGGGCCAGCATTGTCAGGTCCTCAGATTTTAAGAAAAGATACCAATCCAGACCATTTCATAAAATTTCCTGAATTCTAAATGTTGGCAATAAATCCCTCTTCTTCAAAACTACAAGTGCCAAACGTTTCTAGACTGATTTGACCACCTGAGTCCCCAGAATTTGGTCTTTGCTCTATGTGTGTTCATTTGGGGACCTCTGTCATTCCCAAGACAGCCTTACTCTATGCTTCTCACACTGGAAGATGGAGGTACCTGTGATATGTGGCACAATTGTGGGGCTGAGGGATTTGGGGAAAGTGTGACTCAAAGTCATAGGAGAAACATGGCTGGACTTCTTGGAGCTTGAGTTAAGCCATGAGAGGTCCCCTCCTGCCTGCATTGTGTGTCACAGCCCTCAGCTTGCCTCTGAGATTCTTGAGTGAAAGACTTTGAAAAGCATTGACCCAGCTCTCACCTTTGTGCAGAGAAGGCTCTCAAATCTGTCTTAAGCTCCGATTTTCCTCCAAAGAAGCGTCATCTCCAATGTCACATCAACAACCTACTATTAGACCAGTTGAATTTAAACTTTTTTGAGTCAAGGATGTCTCTGATAATATAATGAAAGCCAGAGATCATATCACCCCTGAACATTAATAAATAGACAGAATTTTTCATATAATTTCATGAGGTTTATGGGTACCTTGAAGCCAAGCTCCTAATGATCTACAGGGCTTATATTCAGAATGACTGCTAGATATTTCTCCTTGCCTCTCCCAATTGGAGAGCCTTTCTTTACCATTTTTATTGCCCACTAGTCTATATGCTTTATGAATCCAGGATTGTGGCTATTTTAGTTGTATCCCCAGTGCCTAATGAGTACCTGGCATTTGGTAGGCATGCTGAAAATATTAATTGAATGAATGACTAGATGAATGACATCTGAGTCTCAGAAGAGAGGACAGGTCTAGTGAACCATTTAAAAGAGGATAAGGTTGCCCAGAGGTACATTGGAGTAGGAGAAAGAAAACCCTAATATTTTGGGGGATGAAAGGAGCCTTCATGAAAGAGACTGACAAGTCATGAATGGTCAGAGAAGTATGAGGACATCCAGAGCAGTGATGTCATAAGGTTTCAATAACAGGAAGACTGAAAGTACCTTTTGGTTTAAGGGATTGGCTCATCGTAACCTTAGTGAAACCATCTTAATGAAGTGTGTGAGTCTGAAGCTAGATGGCAGTGGGTGGAGACATGAATGGGACATGAAGAATGAGGAGAGTGAGTGCAGATTATATTTCTGAGATGTTTGAGGTGGGGTGGGACTTGGAGAAGAGAGAGGCAGAAACTGTGGAGGAAGGCACAAAATTAAGTGACATGTTTTATAGAATGGAAGACACTGAGCAAGTACTTCTAGCACAATTAACAAATAGAACTCATGGTTTATATTTATAAAACCTCAATTGCTTTGATTTCTTCCTGTTGCATTGAATTTGTTTAGTGCAATGAGTCCTTCTCATGCCCCATGAAAACTCCAGCAGATCCCATAATGTTTCTTATTGTTGTTGGGTAATGAAAGTCCTAGGGTCACTTTAAGTCACAAACTAGCCTCATTTTGTTATTGAAATTGTCCTCCTCTCCCTCAGCTGTGGCGTGCTGCTCACTGACCCTTTGCAGTGGAAGAGGGA